CCATAATCTTATAATCATCCCTATAATCTTATAATTCAATAATCTTATAATCACGCTATAATCCTCATAATCTATACTCAAAAGTACACGGCTGAGGCGAGTTGCAGACCCCTCGGACGCTATGGCTCATTTCTTGGCGAAAACAACGCGAAAAAGACAAAATGGTCTATTACATCGTAAAAAAGGCTTCATGTCACAGAATTGTAAAGGGAGTAATACTTAGACCACACATTACGGGTCGAACCACACCCTCTTTTGGGCTTAAGGGTCCCTAGATTATCTACTATCTATTATCACTAAAACGTTGATTTTTACATAACAATCTGACAAAATTCGATTTTTTGATGAAAACCGTTACCGAACAGCATAAAGTGTCTTCTCCCTAATTTTAGAGTAGGAAGACCCCGACAAATGGTTCGAGTGTGTCAAATTTTGGGCCCGGAAGACCCTGTTCCCCTATACCCTCTCTTTAACTCGTCTCGGGTGTCAGCGCCGCAGGCCTAGCTATATGTGCGCCAGGCGCGTCGCAGCGTAACAGTGTTTTGTGAGATATCGCGAAGCCTGTTACGCGAGACGTGGTCTGGCGTACATGTAGCTAGTTAGTGATGTCCCTTAGAGTGTTTGTTGGTTTTGCATAGTTAGTCCTGTCTTTCCCCTTGTGGAAATGGGGAAGGTATTCTTAGTTGAATCAGACAGATCATTGTATGATGCGAATGCAGCTCTATGGAGCCAAACTCTTGCAGGAGGTAAGAAATTAATGGCTGCGCGATAAGCGAAGCCTATTACTCCGTCTGGTCGGAAAAAACTTTTTCTGTCTGCCTGTGTGTCTGTCCGCACGAAAACTCGAAAACGAAGTGAGCGAGCGACCTGGGATTTTCAGGGTCGTTTTGTGTCATAAAAAGACAGTTCAAGTTCGAAGAAGAGCATTCTAGCTCAAAAATTGGATTTTTTAAAAATCAAAAGCAACAGGTCGTGGTACGCGAGACGTGGTCTGGCGCACACCATGCGCGTCCCGAGCCGCGCGCCAGCCAGTTGAGCACACGCATGTCTTTTCCGCACTTTATGAAGCTGATTGATATTTTGACCAACCGCATGAGTGGTATCGCGCGAAAGGGCAGAGTTCGAACTTTACCGAGGTACCTTTACAATCCACCTCCGGTTCCAATCGGACGAGATAATTTGATTTTAGTGAACCAACAGACCACTCGGAGGCCCCGCCGGGGCGCCAACGAAACTAATTTTCAGGTAAGAAAAGCGATTGCAATGCTGAAGGAGTGCGGAACTAAAAAGATTACCAAACCAGCTTTCGAATAGGATAGGTGTCCTTTCGATCTGATCAAAATATATCCTCCATTTTTTAAAAAAAAAGCTGATGTGGGATCGGCAGCCATTTTGGATTGGGCAGCTTATTTTACATTTTAATAATACTCGCGATTCGCGATTCGGGGGTCATTCTGGAGGTCGGGAGGTGTCGCCGGAACGGTGACAACCCGTACCATCGAAAGCCGAGGTCAGAAGTCCTGGACACATAGCGAGGCCGTCGCCAGGATCACTTTGGCCTCCAAAATTCCACTTAAATTTCGTTGTCCTTGACGGGGGCCTCGTGGGTATACCCTCGTATCTCACGAACCGTAGACCGCTGAGGGAAACGGACTTCGGCGGTACAACATGTGTAAAGAAATATACTTACTGTTATCTTCCGTTTGCAGCAAAATCCACTCCTTCACATGTCGATGAAGTCCATGCTGAAGATACACCTGCAAACGAGCCGCGGACGCCAGCGCCTCCTTCCCCACAACAGGCCTCGAGGTCGTGAGGTGTCGTCGGAACGGTGACAACCCGCACAATCGAACGCCGAGGTCAGAAGTCCTGGACACATAACGAGGCCGGCGCCAGGATCACTTTGGCCTCCAAAATTCCACTTAAATTTCGTTGTCCTTGACGGGGGCCTCGTGTTATACCCTCGTATCTCGCGAACCGTAGACCGCAGAGAGAAACGTTCAGCTATCATCATCACCTTCGCCTTCGATCTCAAGTGACGCTGATTTCAAAATTGTTGTGTTCACATTCTAATGGGGGCGATTATTAAGATCTTGGTTTAGTGTTAGCTTCAGCTTTATGAGTTAGGTTGATCGCCACAGTGAGCAGCGTTGGTCGGGGCTGCTCACACCTTTCTAAGGAACAATGTAATGTCTCTTCGGAGTTCTTGTGGTATTCTACTACTAGTTTAGCATTGTTCTAAATAGTACTCCCCGAGTACTTTAATGTTTGTTTGTGCTTGTTGTACTTGTTTTGTCTGTTTACTTGGAATAAATGTTTATTGAGTCAATCCACAACTTTTTCTTCATCTATAGCTTAGCTTTGGGGACAGCTCTGCTGTCTGGCGCCCACTAAACTTAT